TCTGAGATGGTGTAGCGTATGCCTTCAGCGGTTTGTTTGGAGGTCCTTCAGCCATCTCTGGTTCTTCTTCTTCTAATTTGGGAATGGGAGTGAGAGGTTCGGGAGTGTTATATTTGAGTTTTTTGAGTTGGTACTCAATGATTCTACTTCTTAAATGTAAGAAGCGTTCTAGTTCTGCGACTGGAGGTTTTACGATATCGCTTTGCGGGCGATTTCTTGGCATACAATCGACAGCACTAGTAAAGGAAAAATGAAAATTGTTAACCTAGTCTATACGGCGTAACAGAAGGTTACACTATTGACTAAACGGGTCCCCGGCAACGGCGCCAAAAACTTGATCGCGACTTTCTATGTCTAATACAACCTAACTGCAAGTGCACAGTCTATCGCGTAGTAATAATAGATATCGATCCCACAGGGACTCGTAATAAAACTAGTGTTCTCGGGAGTTACTATGTTTAGCTAGGTAGAATATGTTTAAGGGAATAAGATTGTCACTAAAAGGGAACTAAGAATACTATTTAGATTATAATTGATTGAATCGATACGTAGTAATTGTGTTCTTCAGGGATTTGATAAGTTACCGGTGTATGAAATAATTTTCAAAGTTTATTTAAGCAGAAAATGGAGATTTGAAGACTCTCGCCTCACGATGGTTATTTACGCTAATCGTAATCCTAAGGGCCAAACGTACACTTTCGCATCCCGTTCGGGGTTAAAATTATTTTTTGGAAATCTCTAAGTTCTAATTCATTTTAAAGTGCTTTCGCTGTTATTAAAACAAATGCCTAGTGTTCACTATCGGACCTTACCGCAGCTTTCGCTTGTTGGTTCGTATCTTAATTAATTTCCCACTTTCGTGGCAAAACTACTTTTAAATAAGTTCTCGCTTTCGCGACGAAGTTTATTTAGTAAATCAATTTTAAACACTTAGACCATAAATTGCCTTTTTTGAAAAGAATGTTTTTCAACCAGTTGTTATCAAATCCCATTCGAATTATTACTACATATCGATTACCTAAGTTTAGCTAGACATGGATTTGGGAAAGATAAAATATAAATAAGAATAATAAATAATAATTTGCATTATAATAAAACTGAAGTCGATCAAAATGAAAACCTGTAAATATGCCAATTGGCCTTTGGGCAGATCCTCCACAGATGTTGGCAGGATTCTGGTCTTTAATGCCAATTTGATCGTACAATAAAATAGAAATTACAGAAGAATGAAAATGGGAATACATGAAAGGTAAAGAGAAACAAATAAGACTAAAACTGGAAAATAATGCTCTGGAAAGTAAATTCGGCAGCACTTCGTGGTATGAATGCAACACCCTTTCTGAAGTCCCCTGCTTCCCTTTTTATAGAAGTGGAATCCCAACGGTTATCACTGGAGATGATGGACCTTGAGGCAGATGATTTAGGGAGTAGTGGTCCACTCTGTGGGAATTGGAACTGATTCTTTGACGTGTAATCTGAGTGGGGCGTTTTTGCCGGCATGACGGTCGTCACAAAGTGTGACGGTCGTCACCCGTGTGACGGTCGTCATGAAGCTGTGACGGTCGTCACATCAGCAAAAACAGCTTGCTGCGCTTTTCATTGTGTTTTCACTCCTTTTTCGTCCATATTTCATCTGAGATTGCTTCTTTTCTTCATGTTGCCTTGTTTAGACGTGATCGTTGAATACCTGCAAAACATCAGACAAATACATGGAAATAACCCGAAATCGGATCGAAAACGGTTAGACTTTAGTTGAATTATGCATGAAAATATCTATATGATTTCGTGTTATCAGTTGTTAGCATTTTGTAAAAAGTTTTTGATTTAATGTGGTTGTCTTTATTATTTGTCAATATTAATATATTATGATTGTTTAAAAAAAACTCCAAATTGAACTGAACTTACAATAATCAAATTATTAATTTTAGTTAAAGAACCTAACCATATTGCAAAATAGTTATAGAACCAAATCAAATGGCAAATAAATCGATCCAAACCGTAACCGAACCAAATCGAAACTGAAAAAGAAAAAGGCTAAAAATAATTTAAAATTTTTTTTATTAAAATAATAGAGAAAAAGTATAACAGTTCCATTTCTGAAAAATTGTCTTCAAATAGTTCGGAGCACTTCAAAATTTCGAAATGGTATACAAAACCAACAAGTTTGGTTTGGTTCGATTCTAGGTAATTTGAAATTGTTCGATTTGGTTTAGTGACCTTTTATTATAGTTTGATTCGATTTTTGACTGATATGCACTAGGAAAAATCGTAATTAATATGTTATATATCTCCTTTATCTCTTTTAATTTTTAGCTCATTATCTTTAATTTTTCTCCTCATCTTCCTTCAACATAAGACTCTTTTGAAAATATTTCATTTTTTAATATTTTTGATCAATTTTTAATCCACAATTCATCATTCTCCCCCTTGTGTTTGAAATCACTTGTTTAACAATAGATTCATTTACTATAAATATTAATTAGAAGAAGGCGTTCAAGTTGCAATTAGGCTAGAAGTTTCCAAATGAATTTTACCTCCTTCAAAGAGTGTGAAAAGACCATTAATAATGAATCAACAAAAATCATATATGATTAAATGTGTCTTAACTATGATGGTTGAAATCAAGTAAAAGAGTTTGAAGCAAAACTTTGAGGAGGTAGTAAGAGTTATTCAAGATGGGAGAAGATGAAGATGTGAGGAATATGTTTTCTAACGTAATCTCTAGATTTAAAATGTTTAGCAAACGTCATACTATTATTGGCCATGTAAAGAAAATCCTTATTAAAGAGGCAAATGATATAAATGTCTTAGCTCTTGAAAATTTCATCATCTCCTTCTAAAGTCATGAGATAGAGTCGAATGAAGACGAACCCTAGAGAAAGTCAAATTTTATTGTTTTGAGTTTAAAAGCAAGAAGACTAAACTAAGACTCTATAATTTAAAGAGTCTGATGATGAAGATTATGAAGAAACGTCAGATGATGATGAACGTTCTTTCGTCTCTAGAAAATTGCAACATTTATGAAGTATAAGGAAGAAGTAACTCCCCTACAAGGAGCTCAAGTATTTCAAAGATCTAAGAGACAAAAAAGGAGCTGACAAAAAAGTTATTTGTCAAGAGTGCAAAGAACCTAAACAATTTAGAAATGAATGTTTTAAACTGAAAAAAGTGGAATTCAATAAAAGAAAATTTTGGAGAAACGAATCACTCTTATGTACAGGAAATCAATATCTTGAAGCCTTTAATGAATCCATTCTATGCAGTGCAACTCGATGACAAAAAAATGATGATGATGACGAGGAGGAGGTATTTTCTAATACATCTTGTGATGAACTTGCTATTTCTTATATTGAGTTACTTTGTAAGATTCAAATGATGAGTGAACCATATTATTTAAAAGAACAACTTTCAAATTCACTATCAATTAAGAGATTACAAATGAATCTTAAAAAATTAGATAAACAAGTCCATAAAAACATCACTTAATTTCAACTCATTTGAAATTTATATCTCTCATCGAATACCAATACATAAAACACTCAATTCCAAAGTCTTTACAAATGTTTCTAGACCTTTAGATAACCTTCAAATATCATCCAATTCTTATGATTAGAAATTTTTGAGAACTCCTCTCTTTATCTCTTAGCTTCTCTCTCAAAAAAAAAAAACTTTCACTTGAAAAAAAAATACTAAAAAAATTGTTTAAAAATGACACAGATTTTGAGGCGAGCTATCAAAAACTTCACTTGTTTCTAATAAAGCAAAACTTACAACTTTTATATTAAAAAGTTGATTTTAAGGAAAAACCCCACAAATTTTAAAGTTACTATTTCACTTAAAGTCGACAGGCATAGTGATACTTTAAGCAATATAAATAGAATAAAGTAATGCACATTTTTGTGTTATATGATTTTAAGGAACTCACTTTCCACGTGTAAAAGCAATCTTACAACTTTTGAAGCTAAACTTAGTGGAATGAAGTTGTTGATATGTAGTGGACAAAGATAAGATGACATTATCCTCATTTATACATGGTATGGTTTGCAACCAATTGATGATCTTAATGATTCTTCCAACATCTTTTATAGTGCGCAAGTTTTCAACTACTAAATATCCACTCTAGACCAAACAACACCTTTAATGTGCTTTGCATACGTGTTCTTTACACTGAAAAGTTTTAAACCCCACCCATACTCTAAAAGAAAGTGGTGTAAAATAAAAGTATGAACCATGTTCCCACCCTTACTACCTTACTACCATGTTTGGTTTCATTTCCTAGATTAGTGAAAAATGGTTTTAGGAGAATAAAATCCATGTAAAGATATGTTTTTGTTCACTAAATTTTTATACCTACGGAGATAAAAATGATTTCTTCCAACTTAAGCAAAGGTTCTGAATTCGAACACAGCTTAAGTATACAGTTGTGTTAAATTTTTTGAAAGAGAACTTTATATTGCATTGTAGTTTTCTCGATTCAAAAGATTAATCTTTACAGTTGTGCGTAGAAGATACCCACCAGTTTTGTAGCTTAAAAAACACATTTATTTGTGTGTTTGGTTTCTAAAAAAACACCTTCATTTATTAGTTTGGTATGGTATAAGTAAGAGTAATGGGGCATCATAAAGTGAAACACACTACCATTAGGTGAGTGAAATTAAGACACTGCTATTATATAATCAGATCTTATCTAGGGATGAGAAACTACTTACTTCTTCCTAGAAAGAAATTTAAAGAGCTCTAAAACCCTCATTTCCTTTTCTTTTCATTTATCAAACTTTTAATGCTGAACCACATGTCAGGACAGAGTCATTTATTGAGTCATGTAAGTATTGGTTGAATTTAAGTGCTTTTTTTTTTCTTACTTACTTAACCTCTTCTCTGTGTCCTAGCAGCCTCAAATTTTGACCACTTATCACACTTTTCATCATCACTGGTTTTTAACTATAAAGTATTGTAGTTTGAGGAATTTTCTTGTATTGTATTGTAGTGTGAGTTGAGAGATGAGTTATTTGGGTGTAGGTATTAGTCCTGGAACTGTTCCTGTGTATCACAGCACAGACATGAAAGTGTTTGATAGAAAAGTTAGGATAACTGAGTTGGTTCTGAGATGTGTGATTCTTGGTCTAGGTGTTCTTGCTGTTGTTCTTATTGTGACTGATTCACAAGTTAGAGTTTTTTTCACACTTGAGAAGAAAGCCAAATTCACTGACATGAAGGCTTTAGTGTAAGATTTTCTTCACTCAATTTTATTGTTGTTGCATAGATCAATGTTTTAAATTTCAGTTGAATTGAATCGCGCATTAGATGTAAAAGTTAGTTACACCAGCTAGTTAACCTATCTGCATGCATTGAGAAAATGCGCAGATTAAACAATTAGCCGATGTAACTAACTAACTTTTATATGTGATATCGCGGTCGCGGTCGTGAATCGCGGGGTGAAATATGATTTATGTTTTTGTTGATAAATTTTACAGGTTTCTGGTTGTGGCAAATGGGCTAGCTGCTGGTTACTCCTTAATCCAAGGGTTAAGGTGTGTGGTGAGTATGATTAAAGGAAGTGTACTCTTCAACAAACCCTTAGCTTGGGCCATTTTTTCGGGTGATCAGGTACATTGAGAATTTTCTATGCATGAACGTTTTTCTCGTCTTTGTAAAATTACGCGATTTTGACTAACTCGAGGCGATACCGATTAAGGACTATATTTTTGTTTGTGATAAGGTTTGAAGTTTGGATTCTAGGATGAAATTTATGTAGAAGAATCCATTTTGGCCTCAAGTTTGTCTTGTCAAGCAATGTAACTAGTACTGTGGGACCTCTTCATCTCTATAACCGTACCTAATTGATATTGATGTTGGTACTGAAGAAAAGAAATATTCACCATAAGGCATAACTGTGGGATATATCACAATATGCAGCTACTTATTTAGTTTGGTGTTTGAAATGGACATAGAAGTTAATGAAAAGTGGGTATGGTAGATATGGTCTTCAACCAACAACTTAAAACAAACATTTATTGAAGCTAGACGTTTTCAATAGATCAGTTTTAATGGATCCAATCCAACCCTAGTTTGTTAGGTTTAAGTAAATTTTAACCATATTTTTCAATATGATTAACCAAGTGTTGTACGAGTACGACCATCTTTGAGGGCATGCAAGACAGCGGGAGCGGGCTATCACACAGAGTCTAAAATTTAACTCTGACCAAATAGAAACTCGTAAAATACTTGTCTTAGTTATACTGTGGCAAAATAGAACTCCTATTTGTTTTGTCATGGTTAAATCGTAACTATCTGAAAATTTAAGATGACGTCCCTGCACACACGTGTAAAGAAAGTATATACATGAAACGTTTTTCAATTGAAAATTAGACAAACTAAGGACATCAAAACGGCATTTATCTCTTATATTATTTATTAGTTTCTATGTGCGATCATACCAGCATTATAAAATTAGCATGGTTACACTAAGACATAACTTTTGTATGTATGTATGTAGGTAATGGCATATATAACAGTGTCTGCGGTGGCGGCCGCGGCACAATCTGCAGTGTTTGCAAAGATGGGTCAGCCAGAGCTACAATGGATGAAGATATGCAACATGTATGGAAAATTCTGCAACCAAGTTGGAGAAGGGTTAGCTAGTGCATTTTTGGTTAGCCTAAGTATGGTTATACTATCATGTATTTCAGCTTTCAGTCTGTTCCGTTTGTATGGTGGTAGCAAAACTAAAAATGCATATTGGTAGGTTAGAATATAAGTTAAAATATAATATAGTTTGAAAGTGAATAAATAAAACCTACCACTCAACAAACTAGTACTGTTTTCTTGGTTTGCGATTTACAAGGAGTTTTGGTGTATATGTATGTAGTAATATAGTAGTGAATGATGATTGTGATATATGAATATGACTTGTGAGAATGCAGTTATTGTAATGATCTAATGCTTGTTATTTGATGGGAGTAAAGATGAAAGCTATTTGAGATATTTAACTATTTTAGTTGTATGCTGTAGGTTTAATTTGTGTCTTTGAATGTAAGTTGGTTGCATAGTTAGAGATATTTTGGCAAAATCTTAACTGCAAATAATGATGATGGTTGGTTATGTGTTTGAGATTAAAATCTAAAACTCTGTTTGACAAGTGTTTGAGTTTATAACTTATGGCTTATAGCTTATAAGCTCATATGATAATAAAATAGTTGTTTATAACCGTCTTTTCATCATAAGTTTATAACTTATTTTATTAGTTTATAGTTTATTTTTCAGACGCTATTTTAAATAGCGTTTTAATTTATAGTTTATAATTTATCATATTTTCTTCTATATTTATCCTTATTATTTTAACTAAAACTCACAAGTATCCTTTATAATTTATTATAATTTAAAATAAAATAATAATAATAAAATAATTTTTATGTTAATTTATTTTATTACCGCTAATTTTATCAAACACTTCAATTAGTTTATCATTTATAAATCATCAGCTATAAGCTATAAGCTATTAGTCATCAACTATCAGTTATAAGTTATAAGCTATCAGATAATTTATCAGGCAACCGTTATTTTTATCAAACAGAGCCTAAATGCATTTTTTTCGTGACTGCATTCACGGCGATCTGAGAAATGACACGCTCACGCAGTCACAGCTTTGTGATTGTTGGATTGAAATTGGACCGTCTTTATTTTAAACTCGGGAATTTTTGTCATTTAGAAAATTAAATCTTTGAACAGTGTGATCTTGATCCAACAGTTTTAAATACTATAACTGTGAATTCGGAAAAATGGTGTGTGGAGGCAATCCAATTACCTCTATCACTAACCAATTCGGTTAAACTTTTAATATGCTTAAATATGTTAAATTAGCATCGCCTGATGTTAATTAAATAGTTGACGAACGCGCGATTGCCTTATTTTCCAACTGGAGAAAATCCCGGTCTGTGTCAATGTTGTAAAAAAGTTTTAGAAATTAATGCAGAGACAAAATTTTCAATTTGAGTAAGACCTCAATGACAAAACACTTCCTAAAAGAATTTAACATTAGTGCATATTTAGGATTCTATCCAAATCCAAGATCTTTAAAAAGGAAGAAATCTCTTACCATTAAATTCAAGTGTTCATTGGTCAACATTGTAAATTTTGGATACACGAGTTTGTGTCTCATGTTAAAAATTGATATAACTTTCTCTTAACGGAATTAAGGAAAGAAAGTTAGTTGAATTTAATTATTTGGCAATTTAATCATTTTTAGATGAGCATCTTTCCCTAAGTAGTTATTGATATTTTAATTAAAACTTCAATGATATAAAAAAATTTATGAACATTTATTTCTTAATTCTATTGGTTTTCTCATGAGTCAATAATGATCTCATAAGTAAAAACTTTCACTCAAATTCAAATTAGTTAGTGCTTTTAATGCTTATTTAGTGTATTTTTTTATAAAAGGTCAAGCCAATAGACAAAAAAAACTACCAAACTTACAATTGGGCCTTAGGTCCATTACAACTTCGGTTCTGGTTATCTATTACTAGACTCTTAGAGATTTTAACCATAGCTAATGCATGTGCCGTTTTATTCTTCTCTCTTTTGATATACACAAACTTCACTCTTTTAAACTTCCTTTTCATCATCCACGTCTCTTAGCAGTGCATGCCCACTGTGTTCCTGGGTATGGTGTCTTCACAACCTACCATGATGTTAATCAAGGTCTTGATGTCCTATTGGAACACAACCCTGGTCTTTTTCTTTGTCAGAGCTCGATCTATGGCTACTTTCATCGCCATAGCCTCAGCAGCAGTCAAATTTATCCCTTTGAACTCTAGATGAGTGATCTCCTATGATCTGACCACTTTCGTTGCGTGTTGACTCGTCCAGACCCCAATATCCCTTTTCCAAAAGACATGCATCGGTGTTAATCGTTATCCACTCACGCTTCATATTTTTCTAGGTATTGCTGCAATCCTTTACCTTGTTGGCATGTTCCTTATCTTGTCTTTGATTTATGTTGGCTCTATAGTGTTTTTTATTCTCCAGGGTAGTGCGCTTGTTGACCTCGTTGAATTCATTGTTGTTACACTCTAGCTTCTTCTGGTTTCCCTAATTGGTGTTCCCAAACTGATGACTCGTTTGTTCCTTCTACGTCTGATTTTCAATTTGCTTATATGTGTTCTGATTGTTGTTTGTTTTTTCTTGATTTTTCAGATTAGCCTCTTCCTTGCAGCTTCGAATGTCGTACTTATGACAAAACTTAGGAGTGGTATCCTGATTGATGTCACTCTCCTCTTGATTTGTCTGTCAGTCCTCTGTGTTGATGATGAGCCCCTTATTTTTGTTGCCTATCAGATGAGTATTGTTTTCGTTTCCCTTTTTTCTTGTATGAAATTTCCTATATGATCCATATAGGTTCTAACTTGGTTGTTTCTCTCAGGATTTCCTTCTTGATTACCCTCTAGGTTGTTGGTGTCGATCCTATTGTCTATTCTGTTCTGATCAGGGTTCTTTGTATCCCTCTTATTGACCTCCATATGAGTATTGTTTCCCTGCATATAATTTGTCTTTGCTTTGAGTCTATTTGCATTATGATGCCCGTAACCGTTATCCCTTTGGTAGCTCATCATTAGATCGTTGGAGATGTCCTGGTGGTGATTGGTGAGGCTGTTCTGGTACTCGACCTGGCTTTTTCTCGCATCAGTGACATCTTTTAGGACATGTACGTTTCTATTTTTGAATATAGCTTTATTTCTCGCACTTCATAGACTGTCCAATATGTGAATAAACATATCAATCTGAACTTGTGTCATTTTGCCAAAGTTGTTAATGCACCAATCCACAAAGTGTGTCTACTTTATATTGTTGAAATTTATATTAAGAGAGGAACTAAAGCAAACATACTTCACCCACCAACATTTCATAAAGCAATGGTTCAACGTTTGTATCATTTCCTTGCATCTAGGGCATAGGTAGTCAGTAGTAATGTTTCTTTTACTGAGGTTACTTTTGACTGGCAGCAAATTAGACAGCAGTCTCTATAGGAGAAATTGTCTCCTAGGTGGGATATTGCTAGTCTACACCTTCTTCCACACTTCCTTCTCCATATTTTTGTTGGAGATTTCCTCCTCCTATTTGTCCTTCCACTCCATGATGTTATGATGCCCATATTTAATCGTGTACATCCCATCTTTGCTAGGATTCCAGCCAAGGAAATCCTCTTCATTTAGGTTTTTTAAAGAGATTTTGTTGATGCTTATTTTATCTATGGCTATAAAAGTGTTGTTTAACACATTTTGGCTCTAACACCTGTTATCCCTATCAATGAGGTCCCTAACTTCTAGGGTCCTTGTTTCTAAGAGCCTTTGTATTAGGATTTTAAACCTACAATGGAGGGAATCCAGTTGTCTTCCCAAATGTTTACCTTATTTCCATTACAAATGTTCCAACAGCTACCTTTCCTAATAACCCTTATGTTATGAGCTAGGCTTCTCCATAGATAACTAGGGTTTTAACATATAATTGCATTCAAAATGTCCTTGTTAAGATGATACTTGGCTTTCAAAACCTTGACCATTAGATATTGAGGATCAGAGTGGAATCTCCATATTTTCTTGGCCAACATAGCTTCATCAAACTATTTTAAGTTTCTAAAACCTAAACCACTTTCAGCCTTGTTCTTGCAAAGCTGATCCCATTTTTTCAGTGAATTTTATTCTTCCCCCACCAATATCTAGTTGTTAGGCTTTCCATCTTATTACTGAGGCATTTGGGAAGGAGGAAAGAGCTCATCACATAAGAAGAATAGCTTGAGCCACCGTTTTTATCATAGTAGCTCTGCGTGCATAGGATTGAGTCTGGCCCTTCTAAATGTTAAGTCTATGTCTGATCTTATCTAGCAGAAAATTGAAGCTTTTGAATTTAGATTTACCCACAGAAGTGAGGAGGCCCAAATAAGTGTTGATTTTGATGATAGTAGGAATTTTTATGGTTATAGTTAAAATATCCCTTTTCTCATTTGGGGTGTTATTGCTTAACATCATTTTGGATTTGAGAAGGTTTATTCTTTTCCCTGGGCTGTCTTAATACTTTGTGATCAGATATTTTAGAGTATTAGCTTCATGCTTCTCTGCTTGGCAGAATACCAAACTATCTTCTGCAAAAAAAAAGGTGAGTAATATTAGGTGTTTTTCTAGCTATGGATATACCTCTAAAATATTTGGCATTCTTAGCATTAATAATCAAGTTGGAGAAAACATCTTCACACAATATAAAAAGATAGAGAGATAAGGGGTCTCCTTGTTGAATTCCACGGGAAGGATGAAAGTACTTTGTGGGAAAACCATTGATGAGAATGGAGAAGCTGACATTAGTTACACAATCCACAATTAACTTAGTAAACCTATTAGGGAAACCAATATTGATAAGAGTATGGTTTATGAGGTTTCAATCCAGCCTATCATAAGCCTTTTCCATATCCAATTTAATGTTAACCATTCCCCTCTTTCTCTTAGAGACCTTGTTTAAATGGTGAAAAACTTCAACAGCCATCATTGTGTAATTCATTATGAGTCTTTTGTGAACAAAAGCACTTTGATTCTCACTTATGAGACTAGGTAGGACATGCTTCATTATATTGGTGATGGTTTTAGTGATGATTTTCATGACGACAATTGACCAATGGTTTTTATACGTTATTTTACCATTGGTTTTAGTTAATTGGCTTATATGTTTAGTAGCATTTTATTTCCTTTTATCGCATTT